TATCTATCTATCTATCTATCTATCTATCTATCTATCTATCTATCTATCTATCTATCTATCTATCTATCTATCTATCTATCTATCTATCTATCTGTCATCTTTATAACATCACTGTACTGATTACCTTGTAAGAAACATAACTCCCTCTAGTGGACAAAGGCAGAAATAATGATGGATGTTCACTTACAGCATAAAGGCTGCTGAATATAAAAGACCTATTGTCTTCTCTTTGCAAGTGGTTAGAGCATAGAGCTTGGAATCCTGAGGTTCTGAGTTCGAGTCCTACTCCCACAGACTACCAAAAACCCTCCACCCCACACTGCTCCCCTGGCGCCACACATGGGCAGCCCACTACTCCCAAAGGGGATGGGTTAAATTCAGACAGTTCATTTCATGGCTCTGTACTTATGACTGTCTAATGACACTAAAAGCTAAAAAGGAAAAAAAAGTCTTTCAAGAGTAAAGTTTTTTTTTTCATCTGTTGCTTCAGGCAACTTTAGGGATTTTTTTCTCATGCATTGAAATATGCACCGTTTTTCAAGTTGACTGCACCTTTGCACTTAAGACACATACATGACTGTGCAACACTGTCTGCATTACAGCAAACAACAATCAAAGTTTCAGTTACTATTTTCAAAACTTCCAAACCATCAGCATCAACTTGTAATGCAGTAAACACCTTTTGTGATATATTTATATCAAAACATATCAGAAACATTAATTGAAAATCGAATCCTTGGCGGTAGCATTGCCATTTAGAGCGTCTCTATCAAAATAGTCTCCTGCTTTAATAGCAGCCTAACCACATGATTCTGCAGTTAAGTTGTGGTGTCATTCTGGTCGCACTGTGCAACAGCTCTGAAGCTGTTCCCCTACAACGCATGAAAGGTGCAGCTGAACCATTTTCACACATTGACAAACACCATTAAGGACACATAGCAATGTCAGAATCAACATCCAATGGTGAAATTACCATTACCACTGTGCTGAAGAGTTGTCCTATATAATGCCACTAAACATCCAGAGCTCAAACTGAATAAACTCCCACACTAGCTCTTTGTTCACAGCTGTTTTATACAGCATAACATAAACTAAAGGACTGATATTTATGACTGCAAGGGCAATGTACAATGTGCAATATCATTTAATTACATTACTGTTAACTTTCTTTCATCTACTGCACACACTTTATGGTCATAAAAGACATTACACTGTCGGGTGTATGTCTATGCTCTTCACTGTAGGCCTCTAAGCTTTCATTGTTGGTTTATGGTATCTGCTCAGACATGTGAAGCACCAGGTGTTTGTTTTCTAATACTTCTATTACAAAGTCAACAGGTATTTCGTGCCAGCTGGCTATAAGTTATTTAGCAGCCCTGTTTGCAAGAAAGCATTGTGCAAAATGATTTAGAAATTGTACTGTGTATTATATGGAAATGAAACATTTTAACTTTAAAAAATAAAGCACAAAGTGTTCACATAAATTAATTTTAAGCACTAAAAAGTGACTTTTGTAAGATATGTCAAGTTTGCTTTCCAAGGCCTTCGCTGCAGTTTCAAACTCCAGCTTTAAACAGATGTTTTACACATCATACAAGAGAAAGAAAGTCCTTTTTTTCTAAATAATGTCAAATTTCACATCAAAATGATGAAATATTGAATGATCTGAGTAATATTTGAATTGACAGAATTTAAAGAGGTGGAGTGGTTTGGCTTCTTTAGGCTGCGCTCAGTAGGTTAGAGGGAAACGCTTATAGAGGTTTATGTTATTGTCAAGTCACACCATACATCCTGCAGCTTTGTCAAAGCATTTGGGTGTTTTTAAGAGGAGGAAATAGGGAGAATGTGTCATAATTTTAAATATGTTGATGTTGGAGCTATGTGTTTTAGTGGCATATTAAGATGGATAACTGTATTGTCCCCCATACCAGTAATATATCTTTAATAAACTGCAATGCATTTATGTTATTGATAAGTTAAGATACTGATAGATAAATATATGTGCTCTGGGCTCAGGGCTCTGTCCTGGGGCCCCTTCATCATCTACCTCCTTCTGTCTATATCTAAATCTAAATCTGTCTCACAGATTGCATCTCTGAAATAAAAGCCAGGTTCACAAGCAACTGCCTTGAATTAAATAGTAGTGAAACAGAGGTTCTCCTCATTGGCACTAAATCAACTCTTTCCAAAACCGACAGCTTCCCACTTATTATTGACAGCTCTTCAAGCTCACTGTCCCCCCAAGGTTAAGAGTCTGGGTGTCATCCTCAATAGCACCCTATCCTTTCAATCTTATATCATTAACTTTACCTGGTCTGCCTACTTCCACCTAAGGAGCAACAACCGCCTCCGTCCCTCCCTTAAAAGCTGGGCATACACTGGACTACAATAGTCCCAACTGGATTATTGTAACTCTCTCCTATTTGGCCTTCCACAAAAATCAGTATAACATTCTCATGGTGACATTCAAGGCCCTTCAGCACCTTGCCCCAACATATTCGTCAGGCCTCCTGCATGTTCCCAATCCCTCCTGTGCTCTCAGATCCTCATCTGCTTTACACCTGTCTGTCCTTTCTGCCTGTCTCACCACCGTGGGGAGCAGAGCATTCAGCCGCTGTGATCCCTGTCTCTGGAACTCTCTTCCACCCCTACTTAGAAACACCCACTCACATCTCCATTTAAAATTCTATACTCTTTTATATTAATTTCCCTGTCATAGCCTTTGTATTTTTAAATGGTTTTTATTCTGTGTTTTAAATTTCTTTCTGCCATTGTTTTTTATCTTTTGCACGGTGACCTTGAGTGTCCAGTTTGGCACCTTTGATATAAAATGTATTATTATTATTATTCTATGTACAGACAGTATTTACTGTCCTGTATTGGACAATCTTTTCCAACAAATAAAGAAAAAAACAATTATTGAAAGCCATTCCAATATTAATCTCCAAGTTGAGACACTTGTTTAAGATTATTCCAGAATCTACTTCTTTCGCAATTGCTGTTTCACACCTATTGCAAAATGTAACTGTGAAGGTGACCCAACTCAGTCATCAGTCTAACTAACCAAACACTTTTAAAGTCTTCATTAAACATTCCGGTTATTATGAGTTAGATTATAATTATTATGAAGTAATCATTTATTAAACATTAGCTATTTGAAATTACTGCAAATAGTTTGTCAAAATAATAAGCAAGCTAAGGATGAATAAATCAGTAAAGAGATATATTCAAAGAAGCCATTAGTATTCTATTAAATATGATATCTGATTATTATAAATTAGCTATGTCAGAAATATGAAATACCAACATATATACGATAAAATACAGAGATACTGACATGATTTTAAGGTTACTCTAAACTATATTCTTACAAAAGTAATGTCATTAAAAAACTAGAAATTTAGAACAATAATAAACGTTGATAAAATATATCTCCGCCTCTAACTTCTATAAGTCGTCATCCAGCAAAAACAGAAGGTTGAGTGCTGAGATTAACGCATTGTCCCTGAATGTAGCATAAGAGGAGGGCGTGGTGTTTTTTAGACGGAGCAGATCAAGAAGGAGGACAGAGGAGAGCGCGTGAACTCCACAACCTTGCCTTAAAACTTCGACAAACTCTCATTGTTAGCCTTTAAAGGACTCAAAACACCTGCTTTCTCAAAAGATACTTATCATCATCTGCCATGGCTGTGGAAGGGGGAATGAAATGCGTGAAGTATCTACTTTTCTTTTTCAACTTTATTTTCTGGGTAAGTGACAGCCTTTTCCCCTCCAGGTATTTTTATGACTTAAAGTTTAACAGACTGGATGTGGAAATCACCCAAAAAACCTTTACTTACATGTGAATAAAATTCAATTCAAAACTACTTTATTGATCCAAAGGGGGAATTAAAGCCTAATTAAAACTAAATAGTTTTAGAGTAGGAAACATTTAAGGTAAAATGACCATGTTATTGTTAACTCGATGCCTCTAAATTGCCTAATTTCAGGAAATATTGTTTGTGCTAAAAGTTAAGCAGACCAAAGAGAAGGTAGTGGAGTCTGTCAGTCTGTGAATAAAACACAACTTCTTTTACCCACATTTATGCACTAATAAAGCATGAAACCTGTTAAATCAGCTGAGCAGCGCTTGCTCACATCAGCCACATAACCTAACTCCTCTCCTTCCTGCGTCCCCGGCCACTTGTTTATTTTTCTAATAAGGAAGTCCTGGATCAGGTGAAACCTACCCTGCTTGTCGTGTGTTTGGTGTGCGTGTACTTTTTTGAGTTTTTAAGAGGTTGAAATAATGGCGTGTGTCTTATGACCAGATTTTAACACATCATGTGATTTTTTCAACACATATCCTTTTTTTTGTTCATTAAGGACCCCTGCTCTGCTTTCTAAACTATACTGCACACAGCCCTTCATGGGTTACAACCTCACAGTGACTTCTGGCTGAAAAAGAGGAAGTAAAAGTTACTAAACAGTTTGGCAGGGGGTTTATCTTTTTTCTTCCTTTTTAGTTTTGATAAGAGTTCGGAGTTTTGTTTGCAGTCTCATGAAGAAGTAAGGGTATGTTAAGACACACTTTGTGTTTATTTGGCAAGGAAGGGAAATAGAAAGTCCCACTGTGCCTGACATATTCTTCTTTAAAAGCCATAAAAAAATCCCCTGATGTGTTTGTTACTCAGTAACTAACGTGTACCGTATTGTTACTTAGTTTCTCTTCAGTGAGCAGTTTATTTATATTCAGTTTGCCCTTCCTTAGGAGAGGCTCTTTTCAAATGTATTTTAACAATTTTCTTTGACATTAAGGACACAGGTATGGAATACTGTTTTGTTCTTTCCTCATTTTGCTATTTCTTGAGCTACAGATAGATTTACACATTTAGTTTTTAGCAATTTACAAAATAAGAGACATTAGATCACATTGATAAATGGTTTAGTGAGGGTTGACTTCTTTTTTTAATTTTTTGGGGGTGGATTTTATGATCTATTCCAGGATATGAATAAGCTTTATTTGCACAGCACTCTTCACTCCTTTTTGTTACCCAGTGTCAGCCATTAGCCACCCGTTTGACCCTGCCTCAAATATTTACACTGGTGTTGACGAAAGAAAGGGTTTTCAGTCCAAGCCGGAGCTTAACATCAGAAACTAATGGGCTGTCTGATTTCCAGGCTGCCATGGCTGCAGATGTTATCAGGCTTAAGAGTGTAGGATTGTTATAAAATGGTATAAGCATGAAAACACTGTAGCATTGTACAACCAGTTGTAGGTAGAGTGGTTATTATTAAGGCTTTTCTACCTAAAGGTGAGAAAAACCAAAAGAAGTGTGATACTTTTTGAAATGAGTTTATAAAACTGGCATTAAATAATCTACTTATCTCATGCCAGTTTCATGGATGACGGATTAAATATTTCATATTTTATCCATCATCCATTTATTAAAATGGATGAGGGATTAACAAATATGGAATCTTTGTTAATTATTAATTTAAGTCAAAATGCCAAGAATGCATTAAAACATTGAGATAGTTTCTCACTAATGGATGATTTTCTATTACTGAGAAGGGTAACTATGTCTTTTTTGGTAATTACTTATACAGTAACTTAAATTATGTTACTGCTTTTTAGATAGAATATCAAGGTTAAAACTGGAGATTTATTTTAAGAATTTCTGTACCTGTTCACTGAGCAGACCAGAGTTATCAATAAAACCAGAATAATCTTCATTAACAAATAAAATACTGAAGACCCAACATCTGTGAAGAAAGCAGGATGTTTCTTGATGTATCAGATCCTTTTGAGTGGTTTTTAACAGGATTCAGGTGAAAAAGGAATATAGGTTTTTAAAGGAAATTAAAACTTATTGTTTGGTTTTGATCAGGTCATTTTATTCCCTCTACAGAGAAAAATAATTATAGATCCACTATGCACAACTTTACACCCTTGATATCCATTATCAGTGTATCTGTAAGCTGCGTTGGAGGCCACATAAATACTTCTTTAAAGTGAAGGGATTGAGTGGTTAGAGTTAATCTATTTTAAATATTAAAGTCATTGCTGAAATTGGTCATGTTTGACATTTTTACCCTGACATAGTCAGATTGGAGAAATGAAACATTTATAAATAGCAGAACCATATTGAAAGGAGAGTTCTGCCAGTAGGAGGAAGTTAGGGTTGTTAGGGCGTTTTAATAGTTCAGCCCATTCAAAATACCGGCAGATCTGTGACAGAACCGATAATTATTTCACAAAATACACAACTATAAGGATAAGGTTCACTGATTGAGAGGTTGTGCTCCATATTATAGTTTTGTTGTTAGCCATGTGAAATATGTTTTATTTAATCTAGAGCCTGTTTCAATCATTATAAGTTAACTCATATGTGATGTTTGTAGTTGTTAACGTTTTGTTTACATGACCAAAGACGAGTAGAGCGACCTAAATAAGACATTCTACTTAAGTATAAGTGGTAGTCTTACAGACTTACCTCTTTATATTTGTATTTACTGTATGTGTTGTGCTACTTATACATTTGTGTAAAATAAGCTGTCTGTTTATCCATATCAAACATATTTTTTTATTATTTAACGCTAGGTAGAGGCAGAGAGCATGATGTGATATTTAAGATCTGTTTTCCTATAGTTTAGCATGGTTTGCTATAGTTTATGGCAATGCTAGCATTTGCATAACCTTACCTCAAACTATTCAAGCTTAATACTTGGCCATTGCTCTTTGAAATGTTCCCCATTGTCATCCATGGTTTGTCAAAACTCTTATCTCTAAGGCTCTGATAAATAGAAGAGGAGAACATAAAATAACCTCTATTAACAAAGAGTGGGGACAATTCAGGAGATTTAACATATCTATTAAACTGCAAAAGTCCTTCATTTCTTTATTCTGTGTATAAACCTTCCACCCGACACATTTTCATTGCTGTGCTACAGGTCTCATTTTAGAACTAGAACATTTATGGTATGTCTTTTTACAGTACTGCAAATAGCAATAGGAGCAGTGTTTGTTGAAAATATAGTAATAAACCATTTATTAGCATTACCCTGGCTGTCTGAAGGAGTCACATAACTAACTATCAATCTAATTTTTACCAACTATCCAAATTGTGTTTCTCATGTGTTAATTAACACAACAGATTATTTTTGTTTTCTCTGACACCGAAACTAAGTATCTCCTTCCAGAGAACCCTTTTTTTTCTCTCCATGTTTCTCTTATAAACACACATCCAGTGAGTCAAATGTACTTCCCAGTTGTTTGCTTAAGAACTGCTTGGTGTGATCGGATCATGGTCAAATATATTACCCACACAATGTTTGTTAAGGAGCAGGACTGCTTCTGTTACCCCACCCAGAAGACTTACAGAGTGTCATCTGACTGCTTATTTTACACATTCAGGAACAGCAGAATGTTGTAACTTCAGCTTCTTCGGCTGTTTTGGTGCAATGCTTACTCACTTCGTAGATTGAGAAAATTTTGTTTTTTTCTATTTATGTTCCTCTTCATCATGTACTTCCTGTAATTATTAACAAAACCTTTTTGGAGAACCAATAGAAACCAATCTTTCTGTTTGAATTCCAACATTATACTCTGTGTTTAGGACATACCATGCCTGCTTTAAAAAAGCCTGATATATTTATTTATCTTTTTTTAAATAGTCTTGTTAGACATGTTAGTTGGATCAGCATTGGGAATCTGTCCTATTTCCTAAGAGTTGAACGGCTTAAATAAAAAATCATGTAACAGGACCGCTGATCTTGTTGATCTTTAACAGGACTAATGTTCAAGCTTTAAAAGTGATCTACAAATAAAATAAATTACTCAATGGATTTGAGCTTTATCACTGTATTTTTCCTTAATTTATCAAAATATATTAATCCTTAAAAAAAAAGAAAATAAAAAACTAAATTGATATGCAGCAGTTCATAACATGGGAACAAAACAGGTTGTTTATGGGTATGAAACGGAAAGACACACGTGGACAAATTGTTTGGTACTTGAATCTGACAAAAGTAATATTGAATCAAAATTATATGAAAATGAACAATTGAAAATCAGAGATTGCTTTTCAAAATTAACTAATAAAACAATCATGGAAAGTTCTGGACAAATAAATGTTGCGCTTAACTTAATATTTTGTTGCACAACCTTTTGAAGCAATCCCTACAATGAAACAATATCTGTTACAGTTTGTCAGACTTCTGATCCTCTCAGCAGGTATCTTGACCCACTCCTTATGAGCAAACTGCTCCAGATTTCTGAGGTTTAAAGGGTGCGTTCTCTAGACAGTAGGTTTCAGCTCCTTCTAAAGATGCTCAATAAGATTTAGGTCACAGCTTATTGAAGGCCACTCTTAGAAAATTGTGTTTGTACCTCATCTGTCCTTATGACATCCTTCCAGAAGCTTTGTGGCTCATCAACATGTAGTTTGGTCAATTCCAGTCTGACTTTTTTGATTTGTTTTTAATGTTTGTTATCAACATTGGTTTCCTCCTTGGTCGTCTCCCATTAGGTCCTCTATGGCTTAAACAATGACGGATACTTCAATTTGACACCGATGTTCCTTAAGTTGATTTTCAACTTTAATCTCTTTAGAAGTTTCTTTTGGTTCTTTTGTTACTATTCCGATGATCTGATTTGTCATCACTTTGTCACCTGTGTATGAAGGGGAGTGAAAATGGAGCAAAAGCCATACATTTTGTTTACTTTATCTCTTTCAAAGGAGAAGAACTTTTTGGAATTAGGATTCCAAAAAGGAATCAGGTAAAAATAATAGATGGGTTCATGAAAGATTAAACCTCACAGGACTAGCAATCACCACAATTTCGCTTAGTGATTTATCTGCCCTTTATTTCATGAATTAAACAACTAATGACTGGATAGGAAAGGGTGAACTAAAACTATGGAACTGGAAGTTCTGGATAGATTATAGAAAGTTTTTAATATAAAATAGCCCAAATTATATTATTTTTTCTACAGTTTTGGCTTAATTATTATTCGGAATGGGTTCTATTAGCAAACAGAGATGTTTTAGAGTCTGTAATCTACAGTAAACAATTTCTCCATTATTAGATTAGCTGACAATTATTTCAGTTGTTGATCAGTCATGATTAATCTAGTAGTTTCAGCCCCAGAGGTGTGTCTTATTACATCTTATGTCATTATTCCTCTGTTTACCTCTCATCAGCTTTCTTCCTGTCATTGCAGATATGTGGACTTGCACTGATTGTCGTGGGAGTCCTCGTTCAGGTTTCTCTACACAAATCCTTCCTGATCCGTGACGCCTCAGCCTCTGCAGCTCCCATTTTCATCATTGCAGTGGGTGTCGTGATTTTCTTCATTGCATTCTTCAGCTGTTGTGGAGCCTGGAAAGAAAATCACTGCATGGTCACCACGGTAACCCATAGATCCCTTGCATCCTTTAAAGCATCCCCTTCAAAATGATTCATTTAATACCAATTTTTTTTACACAAACAGTTGCACATTTTTATTTCAGTAATGCCAAATGAACACTATGGTGATGTTTGTCTGCCACTACGGACATATGAACGTCAGAAAGGCCTCATTCTCCTGTAAATCTTTAGATCTTAAAATTATATACAACTACATGTATAAAACAACAGCTCCATCCAGTTCCACTAGGGCTGGGTGATATACACTTAAAATCATCATGATACTGGGTGATATTTGCATAATAACGATAAAAAAACCCTTATTATCTTACAATATTTTTTTCACAGTCACTAATTATACTTTTGAAGAACATTCACATTTAAATGAATTTAAATTATACCTTTTCAGGACAAGAGTTACATACAGTAGTCTCATTTATATCACTAAACATCTCTTGGTAAACCCAAATAATCATATTTTTCAAATGTGTCAATGCTGCAATGAAAAAACAGGAAAGACAGAGAAGAATAATTGTAAAAATACAAAAGTTGACAATTCACACAGTTTCTGGAATTCTTGCGACCCACTGACTTTAAGTAAAAAAATAAGATTAGCACAATAAAGATAAATGATAGGATAAAGAAATGCCCACACCTAGATTCCACAAGCTTAATGAGTTTTTTAAAGAGAAGGTTTGAGGTGCATTTGTGAAGTTAGACACTGATGTTGGAGAAGAAGGCCAGGTAAACAGTCTCCACCTGATACAACTAAAAGCTGTTAGAATAAATTGTATTCAGGATGCTGAGCTGGCCCTTTAAACTCTTTCACAACAAATTTACTGTGAATTGATTCCCAGTCATGTTGGAAAGATAAATTGGACCACCCCCAAACTGTCCACACAAATTTTCGAGGGTATAATCTTCCACAAATGTCTTGTATGTATACTGAGGCAATAACAGTTTTTTAGACTAGAATAAATTGACAGAGTCCTGCTAGCCATGCCCCGCACCATAATCCTCTCAACACCATTTTTATGCAGACCCAGTACAGTCAGTTTTTGTATCTTCCAAGCCATACATTTTTAATATCTGTAGCTTTAGAGGTATCATTATATGGAAACAGAACCCAAAGCTTTTTTAAATAAAGCGCATTAAAACTCTTCTTACTTTGTTTAATTCTCCTCCAGTTCGCAGTCCTCCTCACATTGATCATTCTTGCTGAGATTGCTGCAGCAATTCTTGGATATGTCTACAGAAACAAGGTGAGTGTTCACGTCAGGCGGTTGTGTGATTCCTTACAGAAGTGGTGTTTCCATTTTGACCTCTATGCTGCTTCTTCCACAAAGCTCTCAGTCGTCGTCCAGGACAGTCTTACGGAAATGATCAGCAACTACAAAAATTCCTCAGCAGAATTCAAGAAAACTGTGGATGACCTACAGGAAGTCGTAAGTTCAGAGCTGACCGTGCAAACATTACATTGCTTACATTACTGAGCATGAACATTATTATGAAATAATGTTTCCAAGTTGCAGCTGAGGGTTTTGTTTTGAATAATTTTGCAGTGGAAGTGCTGTGGTGTGAATAACGCTAGTGACTGGAAGAACTATGGGGAAGATAAGGTGACGGTTCCCGACTCTTGCTGCAAGAACGTCACTGTAGGCTGTGGAAAAGGAACCATGACAGATGCCAACAAAGTGTACCAAAAGGTAAATCTAAATGTCTGAATAAAACATTTACATTTACTTTCTAAGCTTCCAGTAACCGGATGTCATCGGCCTTGACGACCAGATTAGGTCTTAGAAGCTGGGGAGATGTAGTTAGCTGAGAACAAAGACAGGTTGCATTCCTGATGGATGGAATGTAAATATTGGACAGAAGCATAACTCCAGTTAGAGAAAAATGTTGCTGTGAGACAAGACTCGGTCAGGATGCTTAAACTAAAGGGTCCATGAGGCTTAGTAGCTGCCTGCACCTCATAAAGGAGTGATGAGCCTTGATTATCGACACATTTGATTAAAACAATAAACTTTTTACTTTTTTATTTGGGATTTCACCTGATAGATCTTGTTTCTACAACCTTTCAAATGCAAAAAGCCATTTTCCTCTTCGACCCTGGAAAATAAAATCATTTTGAGCTGCTAAATATTGCATTATTATTAAATAAAACACAACTTATTATTTTTGTTAAATGTCTGGTATTGGAAATCTGTTGTCATTTTATTTGACAAAAAAATTATTGTAAGCATTTAAGTTTTTAACCCTTTAGTAACAAATATATCGTATTTAATTTTTTCAAACTCAGTAGGCTATTTTATTTTTGTCGGGAAAAAAGTGTTTATACAATCAGACACAATTTGTAAACAGAACTTAAATAATTCAAAATCTATTTTTTTCTTTCTGGATTTTTTAAGAACAATATAAGTTTCAAAAAATGGATTTGTCAATTATACCATGGTTTACAATTTACAGGGTTAAAATAAGGAAAAAAAACATAAAAAAGAAGAATCATGGATTTTCCTCTTTAAGATACTATTTTATATAAAAAATAAACAGTTTCTAAACTGAAGAAATATTGGTCTAATATAATATTTCTGGTACTTTAACCTCTCAAAACCCACCGTTTTAAAGCGCTTACAAATAATAACTCAGAATGCATGAAAATTACACTGGTAAAATGTTTACCAATATAGACATGTTAAACATCGTTGGAAAGCTTAGATTCTCGACAATTCAACCACCTAGTTCATTTTATGGACACAGCGAGCATCAAAGCACAATTAACACAGATATAGCAGCATGTCAAAATGTACCATGACAAAGCAGCCACAACAATCAAGCATGTCTTTATACCTGCTGTTCAAAAAAGACCTACGGTATTCTTTTCAAGAATAAGAAAAACAACTTTGAGTCTTATTTGAACTGATGCAGCTCAGGCTTGATGCAGCTTGGGTGTTTTACTCACCCAGTTTTCATGTATATATTCAGACACTAGAAGGTGTTGGCTTTCAATTTATGTATCACTCGTGTAATTTGGGCTTACAGTTCCTAAGTTATTTGCTTTTCCATGTGAGGTGGATATTAAGAGGTTAAAGACATTACATTGTCTGTCTAGAGTGTCTAAGAATGGTATTTGTTAATATACTGTGTTCTTAACCATTAGTTTGTTTTTCGCCACTGTAAAGCTGGTCAAAATCGAATCTTCACCTCAATCTGTTGCAGCCTCCAAAATATGTTTACTTCTGGAATTTCTCCTCATTTGCTCTATTTTCAGAAGTTTTAGAGACAATGCTTCAGAAAGGGTTTTGCATGTAGGATCTTGACCATATGGTTTAAGAAGGGGAACTCAGAGGGTTATATGGGGGTAAAAATAAAGGCAGCTTGATACACAGATCTCTGTATTAAAATACAATTTTACTTCCAATATGTAATTTTATCTGTTAGTAGACCCACCCTCTCCACTTAAAAAAAATGCACATGCTCAATCCTTTACCCGCTCCCGAGAGGGAACACCTATTAAACGTGTGCGAGAGCATGCACGAGTCCATATCTCCTCGTGCATGCTCTGTTTAAAAGTGGCTGTTTGCATTGTTCATACAAATTAACTTTCCAAAAGAAGATTTGCAATTTTTCCATTATGTCATTGGTAAGTGAAAATCTTGACGAGCACGTAGGACGGCCTTACGTTAACATATCACCAGAATTATTGACAATTAGGAAGATGATCCACCTGGAAAAAGAACACCCACTATACCTTTCATGGAGGCCTTCCACTCTTACATTTATTTAATTCATTGCCTTTACAAGCAGAAAATCATGTTGAACATGAGAAAAGAAAAAAAATTACCAATATGTGATTGACCTAAGGTCATCTGCAACGTATTTATTTGACAACCTTCTCTGTATCCTAAGGACAAGAGCTTAGGTTGTAGTGTTCATTATGCTATTAAAGGGATAAAAGAAAAGGGATAAGCTCTGGGTATACCTTTAGAGGAGTAGCGTGGTGATACAACCCTTCTAAAGTTTTAATCCTAAACTAGAATCTACTCAGAAATCTTTCCCCAGATGTGTATCTGGAAGTGTTTTATTTAATGGCCTCAGAGTCAGGCTGAGTTGGACAGCAGTCTGCAATGGAGAGGCTATGTTAGAAATTTTTAGAATGTGGTGGAGAGCCAAGGATCTTTGTGTAGCTTGCTCTCTGGAAAGTAGACACACTCTCATAGATCAACTGCTAGCAGGTTCATGTCTGTCTTTGTTACTTTCAAGGGTTGCCATGATGCTTTGGAGACCTTCCTGAAGGAAAACATTCAGTGGGTGATAGTTGCAGCTCTGGTCATTGCTGTCCTGCAGGTATGTATTGGTGGGGAAACCAAAGCATATCATTAGAGATTAACCAGTTCTGCTATTCTTTGCTACCATTAGTTTTATCATCCAGAGTGTGATGTAAAAGAGAAACATTTGCTCTTTGTTATGAGTTTAATAGAAAACAAAGGAAAGCAAACGACCCAAACCTTCATCTGATTTTCATTTAAGTCAAAACGGACCAGAAACAACTTCCTGTTTTGCTATCCTTTTAGCCTGTAAAGGGCGGGACGGGAGTTGCAGTGCTTTTGATAAGATAGAAAAATAATTAAGGGGGCATTCTCTCTTTGTCCAGCATTTCTAAAATAAACTTTGTAAAAGTTTGACAGGATTTTCAAACATCAGCATTTTTCTTTTTATCTCTTTCAGATTATGGGCATCGTGTTCTCTTGCTTGTTGATGAGAGGCATCCGGAGTGGCTATGAAGTCATGTGATTCGTTTATAAATATTTGTTGGGTGGTCAGGTTCTAATAATTGGGAGCTCAATCTTAAAACATTTCATATTTTCATGTTAAAGTTTATATATTATTCACAGATTATATTTCTCCCTTATCTGTGGGGTTTTCAGTTTGATGCTAAAACGTTATTCCCGCTCTGATTTTGTAGGAAAATGTTAACATTCTAGGTGAAAGCAGATAAATGTTTAAGGGTTTAGAAAAAATTTTAAACATCTTTAAGGCAGCATATACTATTCTGTTTCTATTACAGGGTTATATTTGTATGGTTCTAGTTTAATTGTAATGAATTGTCCTTAAATGATATGAATTTACATTAAAAACAAAAAGATAAAAGACAAAAAAATGCATTATGATATTTATTTTAAAAAAAAAACTGCATTATATGCAATATTGGCCCAAAAACACATCACTCAGAACATGAACAAATATCATCACAAAAAAAAAGACTCAGAAAATAACTTTTACTTCATAAGTCATGCTTCAGATGTGAAAGCAAACGGCCAAAGCTGGTGAAAGGCACAGGAAGCAAAAACAAGCAGAGTGACACCGAACGACACCAGCTGCTGTGTTTTACTTTCACTCAAACATCTGAAATTCTTGTATGAAACTTTTTAATCAAAAACCTTTCAGGATTTAAGTAAAAAGTTTAAGTCTCCAGATAAAGAGATTGATTGGTGATAAAAGTAAACAGTAAAGTGCAACTACAACTCTTGGCGTATAGGTGTATGATGCAGTCTAAATATTGTGAATTTGAAGTTAAACCTCTCATGTAAGCATACTTGACAGTCTGTCTCTACTTATCATAAAAGTCATGTTTTCTTGAGTAATTTACTGCTGTTTTTTAATGAAAAAAAGAAGTGTCCATTCTATAGTTTTCTGAACAGCTTTGTCATGTACTGATATTGGAAACAAAAAAGCACAAATCGAGATAAGAGCACCAGCAAAAAGGTCCGTATATTCTGAATACAGACATAAAAGCTCTTCTTACCCTTTCTTAGCACTGATCTGCTCCATTATTTTTTTTTTCAAGTAGAATCATTGCCGTTTCGCTAACTTGCATTTATAGCTGTGCAACAACAAGCAGAAGCTATGCTAACATTTAAAGCAGCAGTAACCTGAAAAACAGGAAGAATAAATGCTTTACCCAAAAGATTGTAAGTTTCTATGCAGTGCCTTAAAAAAATACTAATACCCCTTTAACTTTTTTTTACATTTTGTCACATTAAAACCACAAAGTTTATTTTATTTTATACAGACTTTATGTGACACACAGCCTAAAAGTGCTGCATAGCTGTAAAGAGGAAGTAGAGGCATACACAGTTCAAAGTAGAAAGTACTAATAAAAATCTAGAAAGGATGGGTTACATGTTTTCAGCTTTTTACTCCCCTAAATAAAATCCAGTATAACTAAGATCCTTCAAAATTAGTGCACAAAAGTGACTTTATAGACAGATGTTGTGTCCTGAACTCAAAGGTTCATTAGAGGACATTAGAGAAGCCAAACCAAATAATGAACAATAAAGAACAGTGTAGACGGGTCAGAGAGAGGCTTAACATAGGGTTGGATTATATAACGATATCCCACAACTAATGGAGCGGCATTTAATCTGTCAACCAATGAGGACAGCTTAACTGCAAACAGACCAAGATATGGTCAGGAACTTGAGATGAGATCCACAGAGCATCTAACAGGACACATTTTAGGGGTATTTTAGGGACAAAGGCTGGGAATGAAAAATTAATGTGCACAGATCTATATTCAATCTGAGATTCTGCAAAAATGATCTACAGTGACTGCATCTATTTTGCTCAATGTCCATGTGCCGTTTTGTCTTGGTCTATGACTTAAAATACTAATAAGGTCAATTAGGGTCTGTGGTTATAAAGCAAGGAAATAAAAAAAAATCAAAGGGGTATAAATATTTTGCCAGGCGCACTAGTTAAGTGCATCAATTGGAATAAAACTTCCTGCTAAGGTTCAAATCTGCGAACAAAAGCAGCTTTTCTGTCTGATAAAGACACTAACATCATATTTTCAAATGAAAATCTGACTGCACAGGCCGTGTTTTTTCCTTCAGGTAAGCATCAATGTCCTGTTGTATTTTTTCTTTTTAACCTTATCTCGAAAGGAAATTTGTTAAATGTATTTTTTCCTTTTGCAGTAAGGAGATACTGAAAACTCTCAGGAAGTTGAGCAATGCAACACAAAAATGGCCATAATCACGGCAGCAGGCTTCCTGTCAGTGGCGGCTTGGGGCGCTGGGGTAGTTTGCAGACAGAAGTACGATGCAGTGCAAAAGAAGTGATACCTCTGAATCTGCAAAATAAAAAAGAGAAAAATACATGCGGAACGTTAGGGTAGAAATACGATTAAAATTAAAGACAGGGACCTGGTCCACACAAACATACTAATAAATCAGCCGATACAAGATGAAACATTTATTCAGCTCAAAGTATTTCCTTCTTTAATTATAAAATAATCTGAATTTTGAGAAAGAGAATAAAAGTTAAAAAGCAGTTCCTGGTTCTACTGATCCACCATATTTATGCTCTAAGATGGGAGAGAATATTTTAGAGTTGCCGTCATCCTGACTGGTTAACCTCTTCAGAGGAGTTTCAAAATGTAGTTACAGAAATGTTTACATAATATAATCCCAAAATTAAACTGTTAGACACTTAGTTTCCAAACTCGTCTCATCAACTATCTGGATTAGCTGCTGGGAAAATAGTTTGCCATCTAATCGGAGTAAAGGTAGCTCCTTACTTTTGCTTGTTCTCTTTGATGAAGAGAGAAACATTTTACTAATATAATTAGTAAAATTAAAATATAATTTTACTGGAATGCCATTCAGTTCTCATTCTTTCAAATCATAGAAATTAAGGGGTGCATCCCCACCCTGTCACATTCAGTGACTTTTGGAAACATCTGGATCTTAGAAAGATTCATACTTCTGTTCGTATTGGATCAGATCTTTAAAAATGTCCACCACAGAATAACTTGACGTGATATTATTCAAGCCAACCATCATATGCAATAAAAACCCTCTGCTAGCAGCAGGAATTGAAATATTTTTACTTTTCTAAATTTAACTGCAAAACTGTTTGGTATCTTTACAGTTGTGGCTAGATGTATAGAGACTTTATTATAACCCCACAAGAGAAACTCAGATTTTTTGTGAGCAACACATTAGAAAGTTATTAACAATATTGCTAAAAGTGTCTTTGTTCTGACAGACTGAACAAAAGATCCCTTAAAGCGCTCCGTTCAGCAGTGAGGGAATAGGAGTCTCTTGCCGTGGCTTCTCCTCTGAGCATAAACTGTCATGTAAACGGCAACTGGCATGACACGTCTGTCAACAAGATAGACTTTCAAATATTTCCAATTTTTTACAAGTTCAATGTCCTCTCCACTCCATCAATGGTGATAGGTTTATGGGAGGATTTCCTTCCAAAGTCCACAATCATCAGGAAATGGCCATTTTTCCTGCTCCATTCTGTATCTTCCTCTCTCCTCCACTTCCTTCACACATGTCAAAACGACCTCATCATCATAACCTTTCTGAATATGGAATGTCCCGGAATGGCATGAAGAGAAAGAGAGATGGTATAATTTCCTGCGGTTCAGTAATACTTTACATCCTGGACCTCTCAGTGAGATAGTTATAGATCCATGTTGTAAAAATGGGTTCCCTCCCATCCTCTTGTAAAATGAAACGCATTGTCCACCCCCATATTTTACCTTATGTAGAAACTAATGGGTCCACTGCCTTTGCTAATTTTGGTTTGAGGAGTCGCAGCCTTTTCAAAGTCTGTTGCACCTTTTTGGGTATAAAACAGTACCAGAGGTGGTTTGGAGTTATTTAGTTCCAGCAAATGTCTTCTTTTTTTTTTTTTTTCTTGACAATCAACCTTTTAAGCGTAGTGTTGGACCTAAGCTGAAATGTAGAGTAAAACAGCTTTTCAGATTCCACAATACTTTTAATTTAAATTAAAAAAAATGTTTTATTGAACCCCCCAAAAAAAGAATTTTAGTTTTGGTACAGCTGGTCTAAGGCAAGACAAAACAGACAATATAAATGGGGTGGATGAGGTGTCAGAAGCCTTGCTGCCATCAAAGGTACTGGTTTTAATAAAATAAATAAAAAAAGAGAGAGAAAAGGATCACAATGGATAAGAAGGAAAACTATATATATTTCAGAGTGTCTAAGAAACCTATTAACTTACTATACAATTGAATTGCGTTTTTACAGTGTGTTAACAGGTTTAATCTTCCATGTTTGCTTTAGTAGATTTCTAT